CTCTAAATGCAGGTTTTTGAATTTTAAGCTTATATTTGATTATAATATCTTACAGTTGGCTAACCATTTGGTAAAAACATACCAAACCTCTAATTAATTCTATTCAGATTGATATATACAAGAAGAAAATGTATATAAATATTTTATTAGTTTACAATAGAGAGATATATTATTAATCTGGTATCAAAAACAGCAACCATAAAGAAAATGTGATTGGTGGTATCACATTTAAAGCCAAAATTATACAAAAAGAAATAAAAACCTAAAAGGGTAAATTATAAATTGAGAAAACATATCTATATGACAAAATATCACTGAATCTTATATATAAAATATGATTATAACCATAAGTGGAATTAAAATTAAAAATTATAATCATGAAATTCAAATACATAAATTTAAAACATTTAAAGTTTTTTAGTTATGATTGATATGTGAATTTAATGATGTATATGTTAAATATTGAAATGGAAAACATTAAGAGATCATTTTTAATGTAAACTATCTGGGATCAATTGGTGGTATTACATACCAACAAGTCTTATAAATGTGTACATAAGTCTACAGGAATTTTATTGTTAGAAAGTTATAAGGAAATAATCTGACAGATGTGTAAAATCTTTAGTTATAATCATGATTGCTTTGTTTTAAAAAAAAAAAATCAAATCCCCTAATTGGGAATATTGGTTTTTTTGTTTTGTTTTGATATTGTACCAGGGATTAAACCCAGCGTCTCTTAACCACTGAGCCATATCCCCAACCTTTTTTTGTTGTTGTTGTTTTATTTAGAGATAAGGTCTTACTGAGTTGCTGAGTCTGGCTTTGAACTTATGATCTTCCTGCCTCAGCCTCCTGAGGTGCTGGGATTATAGGTGTGCACCACCTCACCAGTGGAATGCCAAGAAAGTTTGTTATGGAAGATGTTTTTTTAGGAATCTATATGTGATCCCTAAAGAAAGGGGATGGAAATGGAGTTGGCAGAAGTCAAAATGCAATGCAAACAGGACAAAGCCTTAGCCAACCACATGGGGAAATTTATAGTATCCACATGAGGCTGAGATGGCTGGGCCTCTGTACCTCTACTTTGCTTAGTTACAAGGTTCAGGCTGCCCTATGAAAGGTGTGAGAGTAGGCTAAGTGGTTCTGTGTATCTAAGGCTGACCCTGAAGGGCAGATATTTATCGCTTCTCTACTAACCACACTCTCCTGCTCTTCCTTGAAAGGGAGTCTGGGTACTTAATCCCCCACAGAGGCCCCAATGTTATCCCCTTTCTGTATATTATCTTTGTTGTTTTGACCATTTCTGTCAGAAGTTAAGAAAAGCAGGGTAAGAGAATTGAGAAGGACAGTGGAAAGAGGGTGAGTATTTTATTGCAAGGGCTTTTGGGGATGGGTATATTTGAGCAGAGACCAAATGATAAGAAATGAACCATGGAAAGAAAAAATATTCCAGTCATGAGCACAGCAAGTGTCAGAGTCTGTGTGGTTGTGGCAGAGATAAGAATTTAAATGTGTTAAAACATCAAAAGTGCTTAGAATTTTACACTTTAAAACTGATATCCTGAAAGATATTTCAGAGCTGTTTGGGGATGTATTTGCAACCACCTCTTTGCATATAATACAATGGAGTAGATAAAGCTAAATTATTCATACTTGGTTGATTTTTTTTTTTTTCCTTTCAGCAGTGGCTTTTTAAAAAGTAGGGTTATCTTGCTATGTAAGAATAGTAATCAAATGAATGCAAATTTGTGTCTCTGATGAAAGTCTTCTGTAGGTAAATTTGTAGAATTATCACTTAGGCTCTTTATGTTACTTATTGGTTTGATGTTACTGTTTCTAATGCCTTTTGTCTTTGGCATAAATTAAATAATGTGTACCTAAAATTTAAAAAGTTGAAAATGGTAGATTCATCAGTATTTCCATGGTGGCTAGAATTATCCAGCTGGCTAATAAGCCCACAAGACAGCTGAATCATGAACAAACCCATTTAATTTCCACTAATCATTGCTCATACATTTGGAGACCCTCACTGTTCAGTTTTAAAGGGAAAGCGTGTAAATACTTTTTAAAAAATCAGGACACTTTTATTACCTCATGAACTCTTTAGAACACCTTCCTACACCCCCAGGAGAATTGAATCATCTGTAGGGAAGCTTTACTGTGTATTCTAATACCTTCTTGTTCATCTTTGAAGTCTCAGCTTACTCTAAGTCACACTCATCCTGCCCAAGTCTAGGTTAGATAACTTTGCTGTATGCTCTTCTAAATCAACCTGTACCAATCCTATGAGAGCACATGTGCCATCTCATTGTAACTACATATTTGTCTTTTTATCCCACTATACCAGAATATGCTTGGGGGAAAGATTATATCTTCTCCATTTTATTTTCTCCCCATAATATAAGCAAATGACCATTATTGATGCTTAAAAAACAATTCATGTGGTTCCAGAAAAAAAGTTGTGGTAAATTAAACATTATAGCTAGTGGGGGAACTAGGCAACAGCCTCTGTTTGGCTCAAATAACAAAAAGGTAAGGATACATTAGATGCTTTTTAGAAGTTAAGCATATCTTAGCTTGAGTTAACACAGTAAAATTAGTAGTCATCAGTATTTCTGTTAGGCATACTATTGGATGCCCCACCATACCCCATTAGATTTTGCAGATGAAACTGAGGCTTAAAAAGATGAAAGAATGTGATTTATTCAAGGCCACAATTTATAAATTCATGTTTGTTAGGGTTTAACTATTAGGTGTCTCCCAAAGCTCATGTTTGAGGCAATGTAAGAAGGTTTAGAGATGAAATGATTGAGTTATAACGGCCTTAACCTAATCAATGTGTTAATTCTCTGATAGGTATTGATTGGTGACCATAGGTAGGGTGTGGTTGGAGGAGGTGTTTCATTGGGGGGATGTAACTTTACGGTATGTATTTTGTTTCTGTCCTTCTCAGTTCTCTCTCTCTCTCTTTTTTTTTTTCTCTCTCTCTCTCTGTGCTTCCACATTCCTGGCTGCTTTCCTGTGCCACACACTTCTGCCATGATGTTCTACCTTACCTCCTCTAAAATTGTCAGGTTTTTTGGTCATAGTAGCAAAAAGGCTAACTAAAACAAATATGTCTGACATAAAGCCTTGGTCTCTGTCTCTCAATTAAAAGACGTATCCAGAATAGATGGATACTCTTTAGTACTTGCTTATACAACATCTGGAGTATTGGTTTTTGTTTTGTTTTGTTCGTTTAAAAAGATATATTGGCATCATGAAAAAGGGTCGTCAAAGGGGAGAGGAATCTGAGCAAGACTGCTTTGAGGGACAGCTGAAGGCATTAAGAAGGGTTTGCTTAGAGAAGGAACATGCTCTCTGTATGTCTACAGAAGTTGGAAGAAACCATGGCCAGAGAACAGATGTTACCAGGAGGTAGATTTAGGTTATCTTAAGCAAAACTTTTTAGGAAGAAATTTCTAAAAATAGAATGGCAGAGTCAGACATTGTGGTGCACACCTGTTTTCTGTTACTCCAGAGACTGATGTGGGAGTGTTCCTTGAGTCTAGGAGTTCAAGAACAGCTTGGGAAACAGTGAAATTCCATCTAAAAAAAAATAGTAAATAAAAAATAAAAATGACTTTTCCAAAACTAAGGCCCTATTCAAGTAGTAAAATTGCTGATAAAATTTTTGTAAGCATTTTAAATGCCAGAAGGAGCATTTAAACAAATTCGTAATTTAATCACAGCTCTAGAATAAGTGGTAGGGTTATTTCTATTTTTTAGATAAATAGTAAGATACTGATTTGTCCAAGGCTTCTGCAGCATATAATTGGCAAAACCAGAATGAGATCCCAAGTCTGCTGACTCAAGATCTTGTGCTCTTTTCCACTTTAAAAGGCAGATGACCATGTATCATTAGTGCTACAGAAGAAATGCCCATATTTGGGAAAGAAGTTAGTCTGGATGATTGTCAGATACCCCTCTGACTTTGAAAATCTTTGATTTTTCTGAATATTAAAAGTTGACCACATTAGCTTATTCATACTTCTTTTAAAACTTTTCCGAATCCATTTCCTAACATATTTATCTTTAGATTTTGTTTATTCCCCACCCCATTACCTAGTAGTTTCTAAAAACCTTGCTTTGTCTCTTTATATTCCAGTCTTTTTCAGTCCCATACCTGCTCTTATTTAGTGGCTTCTTCTGTTGTATCTTCAAGAGGACAAAAATCGTAATAAACCAGTTTCCTTTCTTTACTTCTTCCCTGGACTGCCCTTCCAATTTAATTTTGCTACAGAAGACACCTAGTAATGTTTATTTGCTTTTATGTGACATCTGCGACTGTAATATCTGGTTTAGAAGTATCATAGTATCATAGTATTTAGTAGTATCATAGTAGCAAAAATGCTAACTAAAACAAGTAGGTCTGACATAAAACCTTGGTCTCTGTCTCTCAATTAAAAGATGTATCCAGAATACACCCTATCTTTATAAACAAAATACCAAGCTGCCCTACTTTCTCCCTCACCACCTACCAGTGCCACCTGTATGTTCTTTGACATTTTTCTTTCCCCTCAGATCATATTCTGCTCACTTATAAGGCCTCCTATATCTCTTTGTGATTTTATTCTCTGATTTTACTCTTGACTTACTTTTTTAAAAGTAGGCTTTATTGTTAGAGCATTTTTTGGTTCATAGCAATATAGAGCAGAGATTTCTCATATATCCCCTGACCCAACACATGCAGAGCCTGCCCCATTATTAACATTACCCAACAGAGTAGTACATTTGTGACAGTAATGAAACTCCCATTGGTACATTATTATTATCCAAAGTCCATATTTAATGTTATGGTTTGCTCCTATGTACATTATGTGGGCCTGGACAATTGTTTAATGACATGTGTCTACCTTAAAAACATAAAGTTTCACTGCACTAAAAATCCTTTGTACTCTGCCTATTTATCCCTCCCTCATAACTATTGTAGCCACTGACCATTTTTTTTTTAACCATAGGTAAATTAACATGATGGATTTCTCCAAGCTACCCAAAATAATCGATGAAGATAAAGAAAGCACATTTGGTTATGTTCATGGGGTCTCAGGGCCTGGTAAGTAATGTGTAAGACTAAGGATTCCTAACTTTGATTAATGTCTTTTCAGGATGTTTTAGGTAGAGGCATGCAAGTTTCTGTTTACCTAAATAAATTCTGTCTTTAAAAGATCTTTTAATGACTGTGGACTAAAGTAATGTCTCTATCATAAGAGTTCGTCTAGCATTGATCATGTAAATTTGAGTCATTGAGGTACTACTTTGTGTTATCCTATTTATGTTTATATTAGGTAAATGTATAACTGGTGTTTATTTTTACCTATATCTTCTATTTTCTTCTTGTTGTTAAATTTGAGGTTAAAAAAAAAGCTATAAAGTTTATAGCTTTTAGTATGTAATGCCTTGAAGATAGCAGGCATTCTGTTAATCTATTAATTTGTTTTGAACTTTAATAATTATCTTCAAAGAAGATAATTAGCTGGCTACCTTTGAGAGGGAAACTTAAGGACCTAATACTGTAATGGAAAGCAGTTTTTTTTCTTTTTTTTTTTTTAATTTCTTCTAATTAGTTATACATGACAGAAGAATGCATTTTGACACATAAATGGAATATAACTTCTCATTTTTCTGGTTGTACATGATGTGGAATTACACAGGTCATGTAATCATATATGCACTTAGGGTAATAATGTCCAATTCATTCTACTATCATTCCTACCTCATACCCACTCCCCTCCTTTCACTCCCCTCTATCTAAAATACCTCTATTCTTCCCTAACACCTCCCTGCCCCACCCCCAAGCCTTATTGTGAATTAGCATCCACATAGCAGAGAAAGCTTTTGGCCTTTGGTTCTTTGGGATTAGCTTATTTCGCTTAGCATTATAACTCCATCCATTTACCAGCAAATGCCATAATTTCATTCTTCTTTATGGTTGAGGAAAGCTCCATTGTGTATATATACCACATTTTCTTTACTCATTCATCTGTTGAAGGGCACCTAGGTTGGTTCCATAGTTTAGCTATTATGAATTGAACTGCTATAAATGTTGATGTGGCTGCATCATTGTGGTATGATTATTTTAAGTCCTTTGGGTGTAAGCCAAGGAGTGGGATAAATAACTGGGTCAAATTGTAGTTCCATTCCAAGTTTTCTGAGGACTTTCCTTACTGCTATGGAAAGTAATTTTTAAACTTTATATCCATTCTGCCAAAACTTGAGAATACTGCTTTTTTTTGGCTGGGGATGGCGGGTACCAGTGATTGAACTCAGGGGCACTCAACCACTGAGCCACATCCCCAGCTCTATTTTGTATTTTATTTAGAGACAGGGTCTCACTGCATTGCTTAGCGTCTTGCTTTTACTGAGGCTGACTTTGATACTTGATCCTCCTGCCTCAGCCTCCTTAGCAGCTGGGGTTAAAGGCGTTGTGCCATTGTGCTAGGTGGGAGTTTTACTTTTTACATAATGAATCTCATTTCATTATTCATTTTGTTGTAGAACATTTTCACTACAAAATTTGATTCACAGTATCCTTAGGTAAAACATGCCCATTGATTTATTATTGTTAATGCCTTGAAAATTCATTTTTCCTTAAATCTTCTTATAAATCTTGTGCTATAGTCTTTTTCTTACTCTAGTCATGGTGGAAATGATTATACTATTTTTGCTATTTATGCAAATGAAGGCTATCGGTCACTGTGCCTCTTTTTTCCTAAGAACTTGGTATTTGCTCACTGGCATATAATAAAACAGTTATTCATTTATATATTTCATTGTTTACAATTTCTTTTGCCATTAAGAGAAACAATTTTCCTCTTAAAGATAATGAGGGTCTTTAGGACAGACAAAGTAAACATAAGAAATTTCAGAGAAAAGAACAACATCAAAGACTTTAGGTAAAATCATTCTGCAGAAATGTGGTAAACTGCTCCTGGTACCAATCTTAATTCTTAAGTACCTAATAGAGAAATAGCAGTCTTTTTGGCTCATGAAATAGGATTTTAAAGATCATTGTCTGTAATATTTCAATGGATCTTAATTTTTCTTATAGTAGATATAAAAGTAAATATCAAATCTTTGTATATATAACAGGTTAGGTAAATATTAACACTTTCAGAGTTTCCGCTTAAATCTTGCCTATTATGTAATTCTAATTAGTTATATCAGAAGGCTAAATATTAAGAATGGCTTTATTCCTGCATATTTCTAAAAATATGGCAACTTTCTTTTCCTTCCAGAAGAGATTTTTGCTTACTAGACAACATGGTCCAGATTAGTAAGATTTATTCATTTATTTATTTATTAGTTGTAGTTGGACACAATATCTTTATTTTATTTATTTATATGTGGTGCTGAGGATCAAACCCAGAGCCTCACACGTACTAGGCGAGCACTATACCACTGAGCCACAACCCCAGCAAAAAAAAAATAGTAAGATCTTATTCTGACTCAAATTTTATAAGAAATTGGGGTTCATAATTGGGACTTTATCCAATGGCGGTGATTAATTATAAACATTGTTTATGAAAAAAAATTGACAGATGCATGTGAGCTATTCTATGTAGAGCTATCATTAGTTTATAAAAAGGGCTTCCAGGAGAGTTTTAAGAACCACTGAATTAAATATTAGAAAGTAAAAATGTTTCTTTAAGTATTATTTATCAAAAATACTGATAGTACAGCAAACTGAGAATTGTTGTGGCATTCTAAAGCTTTTATTCCAATTTTAATTTTTTTAATGTTTGAAAACCCATTATTACATGTTTTATAGTAACCTGAGTTCATCAGAATATGCCTCAGGATAACCAGGAAAGAATTTGCCTAATAGATGTCAGACATTTGAAAATAGTTTTCATGTATAGTGTATAAATTAATAAACTTTAGCCTAATTTATTTTGTTTACCTCTTTATGTCATGTATTAAACATACATCTTTATGTGAAACTACGAGTGTGTTCCATAATGGTAGTTTTATCTTTGTTTTGAATGCATTATAAAGTCATGTTATTGTATTTACAGAGCACCAAAGTCTTAAGTCATCTAAACAGTCTTTTTTTTCTTCAGTGGTTACGGCCTGTGACATGGCAGGTGCAGCCATGTATGAGCTGGTAAGAGTGGGTCACAGTGAGTTGGTTGGAGAGATTATTCGATTGGAAGGTGACATGGCTACTATTCAGGTGTATGAAGAAACTTGTATCCTTTTTAATTCAATTTCCGGCCACTTTCTGTGTATTTGAATTCAAGTATTTAAGCCAAAGGTAAAAGCAGCAACTGCTAGTCATATTAGAAGCAGAAAAAGTAGATGTCATAAAGAGTCTGGATATATATACATACACATACATACACATATACACATGTTTATATATACATGCATACATATGTATATATGCTTCTGATATAGGAGTATATTGAAAAAAGGAGAAAAGGTGCTAGGAATCAGTACTGTTATTTTAAGGAATTAGTATTAATGTTTTGAATTTTCTTTGCTCTTGATGTTTCAGGAGTTCATAGACTTCAGGGGTATGCAATTGGAATTTTTTCAGGACACATAAGGCATAAATGGAATAACAGTATTGATTTGTGTGGTTAAAATTCTCTAGCCATAATTTCTGTTTAAAATAATAAAGCTATCGTTAAATCAGTTACCAGTCTGTCTTCATTCTGATGAATAGCACTAGGTGACACGTTCCATTACAACTTTAGCACTAGGAAATCCTTATTGTTTGGTTATTAATATACTGGCTTTTAAACAATTTTCTTTGAAAAATGAAGAGTTTAAGACTTGAGTCTTGTGAAGAGGAATCACCTTTGGGGGCATTCATATATATCTTTGTTTAAATCAGCATTAATTATTTGGGTATTTAATCAAGTTTTATTTTATGCTACTTTTTTGACCATTCTAAAATTCATACTTGCTGGTAACTGGTTTTCCTGTTCAAATACTGGGTGCTAATTTAAAACAAAATCATCTGAAAAAATAAATCTAAACAAAAATATTTTTTTTCCTATTGCTACCTTTATGTTTATTTAATCATTTGAGGGGACCTGCTGGACATTGAATAGGGCCTCTCCATGCTAAGCACAAACTCTACCATTGAGTTATACCCCAGCCCTATTTAATATTTTACATGACTTAAACATTTAAAATAAATGAAAATAAATACAGTGGCAACCTTTCCTAATTTTGTTATCCTGTACGTTGTCAGTTTTCAAAATACACAACCACTTTAATTGACTCCTTTTATTATATATCCTTCTTGTTTCTTAATTGCACAACTAAGCAAATATGTATTTTTCCTTTCTTTTTCCCCCACAAGATGGCATTTTATGTGCACTATTCTGTGTCCTACTTTTTTCACTTAAAAATATGTGCGTTACAGAAGATGTGCATGAATAATGTATTAAATAAAATAAAATATTGGTAAAATCTAGATGATAGAGGGAGTTTACTGAAAAATTCTTTCAGCTTTGTTTAGGTTTAAAAAATTTCATAATCAGATACTGAGAATAAAAATGTTTATTTTGGAGAGCTTTCTAGAGAGATTCATACATGCTCCTATCCTTTTCTTCTAGTTACATATAATTCCATCATATGGGCGTATCACAGTTTATTAATTGATTTCTTAATGACAGAAAATTTAATTGTTTCTAATCTTTTGCTTTTATCAACAGTGCTACAGTGTAACCATGGTATGAATTCACAGAAGTTGGCTCCTAGGTTAAGATTTAACCATTTAAAAAAAAAAAGATTTAACCATTTTTAATTTCAATAGATATTGCTAAATTGCTTTCAGTGAAAAGTGGTACTGATTTTACTCTTATGAACAAATACTAGAGAACAAGGTGAATTTATTGTGCTTATTTACATATTTTACACTTTTCCTTTCAAAGTCACTTCTTTAGTTCTTTATGTTTTTGTCCAGGTACTATTGTCTTTTAGGGAGACTACTGTTCTATAGTGGTGTGTTTGAAATGATGAATTAATGAGAGGCTTGTCTTTTATTTTTAGCCCTGTGGTTCCCAAACTGCAAAGACACTGGGCAACTGCAGTAAACTCATGTGATGCCCAGAATACTTAAAATTTTTGAGTCAACACAGAAATATTAGATATCTTGTCAGATACTACATGAACTAGCAGCTTGAGATAATAAACATTTTTATTATTTTGCTGTATTACATTCTTGTTGGTGGTGTCATATCTTTGCAAAGCTGAGTGTTTGGTGGTTGCTAAGCTAAAAAGCAAGTAGGTAAAAGTCAGTATGGAATATGGGTTTCCATTGTGATTGCAAAGTTTGAAAATAGGCATATACATCCTGTTCATAAGAATTACGATTATTTAGGGCTGAAATTTATACTATTTTTTCTTTCAACTGATGCATATTATTTTTTCATCACTACTCAGTTGTTCACATATTTATGTATTTGTTAAGTTGTTTAAACATAACTATTTATTAATTGAAATTATAATTTTTTTGTCCTGGGACACTGTGAACTATTATTGAACTACTAAGGATGCTGTGAATTGAGAAAGTTAGGGAACCTCTACTTTTAAACTGTGATAATTCTTATTGATCATATCCTTAAACTTTCATTGTGAGTTTTCCTCAACCACTATTTCTAGCTGGTGTGTCTGTTGGAGACCCTGTACTCCGAACTGGAAAACCTCTCTCCGTTGAGCTTGGTCCCGGCATTATGGGAGCCATTTTTGATGGTATTCAAAGACCTTTGTCAGATATCAGCAGTCAGACCCAAAGTATCTACATCCCCAGAGGAGTAAATGTGTCTGCTCTTAGCAGAGATGTTAAATGGGATTTTACACCATGCAAAAACCTACGGGTATGTCTACATAACCAAGAATTTCTGAAGTTGGTGAAATAATGTGAAATGAATGTTTAGTGAACTATTTTGTACTCTTAGTCCAAATAAAAATAGACTACATGAGCATAGTTTAAATTTTTCCTTAAATGCATTGTAGGATTAAAGAACCAGTATGTTTTTTTGATAAGTGAAGCAAATTGTTTTTATAGCATCAGAAGTGATTCTATTTGTTTATTTGAACACTAAATGTTAAATGCATTTTTCTCTAGGTTGGTAGTCATATCACCGGTGGAGATATTTATGGAATTGTCAATGAGAACTCGCTCATCAAACACAAAATCATGTTACCCCCACGAAACCGAGGAACTGTCACTTATATTGCCCCACCTGGGAATTATGATACCTCTGTAAGTATCACTTGAACTTTATCCCACAGAGCAGCCCTATTTATATATTATAGTTGCTCCATTTTGATGCTGTAAATAGTTTGGGGATATAGCTCAGTTGGTAGAGTACTTGCCTTGCATGCACAAGGCCCTGGGTTTGATCCCCAGCACCAAAGAAAAAAAAAGTGATTGATACTGTAAGTAGTTAAAAGAATTGATATAGGTTTTGAGTGACTCCTAATTTTGCGTGTATCTGTGTGTGTGGGTATTGGAAATCAAACCCAGAACCTTGATCATGCTAAGCAAACACTCTAGCATTGAACTACAGGTCCAGTCCTATACTTATAATGATAATGATAATAATAATAGTTACTTTTGGTACTGGGGATTGAACTCAGGAGGGATGCTCTACCACTGAATCCTTTTTTTATTTTGGGACAAGGATATCATTACATTGCCAAGGCTGGCCCTGAACTTGTGATACTCCTACCCCAGCACTCCAGGGAGATGGGTTATGGCTGTGTGCCACCACATCAGGCTCCTATATCCTTATTTTTTAAGGTTATTTTTGTTTTAACTTGGACTTGGGAGTACAAAAAGCAGAATATATGGTTTCTTTTTTAGTAAGAATATTGTTTTTATGCCTTCTTAATTGATGCTACATTTATTTAAATCCCTTATTCTTCAGGCTTAGATTGAATATACTTTTTTTTTTTTTCTCTTTTTTTTTTTTTAAAGTCTCCTAACAAAATATTTCTTTATTATCACAACAAATATTTATTTATCTAAGGATGTTTTATTTTATTTTATTTTATTTTTTTTATTGTTGGTTGTTCAAAACATTACATGTTTCTTGATATATCATATGATTGAATATACTTTTGATTTTTGTCAATAGCGTGCACATAATGTATGCATATTGATATATGTATGTATATCATATATGTATGTGATGTAATGTCACATTGTCTAATGGATAATACAAACTCTCACTTTGAACCACTTAAAACTTAATTCTTTAATTTTATTTATAGTCACATAATATCAATTATAATCATCTTTACAGGGCATGAAGATAACGTTATTGAGAAAATCATTACAACCTATAATTTCCTCCTAATAAAATGTGATAAGGGATAATTTTTAAATAATTTCACAAAAATAAGTCTGTGCTCTAAAATATATAGAGGACAAGAGCTGAGTTAAGTTTATAGTTCTGGGTAATCACCTAGCTTTACATAATAGCTTAAAGACTCACTCATTCCAAATGGAGAAACCACCCTAAAACAGATAAGTTAAATTTGTGTTTCAAGAAAATTACAGAATTCTATAGGGTCTTGAACTTTTAAGTTGTGTGTGAATAGTTAAAACAATATCTGTGTTCACAAGTGTTATTATATTACTCATTACCTTTTTGCTTGTATAAATATTTAAGTATTTTAAAACATTCATCTAAAAATAAAAAACGTTCAACTTTATTAAATATTTTAGGATTTTTAATAAATAGCTATTTTTTGTTAAAGCTGTATAAGATCATTATAATAAAACAGACAAAACAGAGAATGGAAAGTAAATATGAAATTTTTACTTCTCCCTAGTCCCAGCAGCATCTTACTATATATCCTTTAAGATTTTCCCAGGCATTTACATATAACTTGTTTAACTATTTCTTTATAGCTTGATATATGCCTTTTTAAAAATATATTTCTAAACTTTAAAAAAATCACTAAAACAATAATGTACCTGGTTAAAAATAATTTAGGACAGTATTTAAAATTGACAATAAAAAATATCAATCTCCCTTCTCACTTCCATGTACCACCTTCCTATTCCCAAGAGAAATTGGGGATTACTTAAATTTTGGAGGAAGAAACATTTACAAATTTGACTGCACTTAAAACCATGCTGTATTTTTATAGGATGTTGTCTTGGAGCTTGAATTTGAAGGTATAAAGGAGAAGTTCAACATGGTCCAGGTATGGCCTGTTCGTCAAGTTCGTCCTGTCACTGAGAAGCTGCCAGCCAATCATCCTTTGCTGACTGGCCAGAGAGTCCTTGATGCCCTTTTTCCGTAAGTTTGGGATGTGTCCTACAGTTTTCTCTCAGAGTTATTATATGTGCCTATCTTTTCATTATCTTTGTAAATAAAGGTGTTATGTGCTTGAAACCATAATAAATTTTATCCAGAGTAATATGGTTCATGTTTATAGAGTCAAACCATTAAAAATAAGTTTTTTCCCCCATGGAGGCAAACACGATTGTTTATTTCTAAAATGTTCTGAAAAACTAAAATTTCCATAAGAATATCTGTGCCAAAACAATGTATTGCTCTTAAGTTATCTTAGAATTAGTAGACTGGTGTTACTGTTCATTAATGATTTCTAAAATCAGCTAGGCTCTTTATGCAGCCAGCATTATTTCTTAATTTGTAGTCTGCTCTTACTATTTTCTTTTCTAAAAAATCTTTTCCTTTATTTGTAAATTTTAGTCTTTATCATATCCTGCTTTATTTCAACAAATGACTTTATCATTTAATTCACAGAAAAGACTGAAACTGCAAGGCAGGAGCTCCTCAACCTCTGATCAAACCAGTGCACTTTTTTGTGTGTGTGGTGCTGGGGATTGAACTTCTGGACTTTGTGCCCTCTACCACTGAGCTGCATTCCCACCCTCCCATGCACTTCTTTTTTTTTTTTTTAGTATTGGGGATTGAACACAGGGGTGCTTAACCACTGAGTTACATCCTCAGCCCTTTTTATCTATTATTTTTGAGACAAGGTCTCCCTAAGTTGCTTAGGGCTTGCTGTTACTGAGTCTGGCTTTGAATTTGCAATTCTCCTACCTCACTCTCTTGAGTTGCTGAGATTACAGGCTTGTGCCACTGCCTCAGGCTGTCCCTCCTGTGCATTCTTAAGGAATTTTCTTAACTTTTTCTTAACTTAATTTTAAGTTACTCTTTGAGTTGTTCTTGCTATTATTATCTCTTTGAGATCTCCATTCTAAGTGGGAGACTATTATGCTAAGTGAAATAAGGCAGATTCAGAAAGCTGAAGGTCAAATGTTTTCTGCTTTGTGGAAGCTAGTCCAGAATAAGTGGGGGAGGGAGTAGGGAGAGAAAGAAAGGGAAGTGGGGATTCCATCAGAATAGAAGAGAGACGGATGGATTAGATGAAGGGCATGGAGAGGAAGGAAGAAGAGATGGGATAGGGGAAGAACAGTAGAATGAATCTGACCTAACTTACCCCTGTACATATATGAATATACTGCTGTGAATCTCACCATCATGTATGTCCACAAGACACTAACTTAAAAAAAAAAAAAAAATGGAAGTAAATAGCAAAAAGATCAGTAGAATAGAGGGAAGGAAACGGGGAGGAAAGAGGATAGTGAGAACTACTAGGGACTGAATTAGAGCAAATATATTCCATGTTTTATAATTATGTCAAAATCAATCCTAGTGTTATGTATAACTAAAAAAAATTAAAAATCTTCATCCTTTGACTCTTTTTTCTTATTAGTCAGTACCTCCTATTTCCATACCTTTCACTATTCAGCCTAGACTAGACTTAATAGTCTTTCATTCTTATGGCTCTTTGTTACTAATGTAATAAATCTTGTTGTTCCTCTGTATTTTAACATACCACCTAGCAAAATCAATCTAGCTAGCTCCTTTTCTTAACTCTACTCATAGGTATCTAACTCTACTATTGGGTAGCAATCCTTCTGCATTTCACTAGTTATACTTCTCAGCAGCTATTTCAAAATATTCCACTTGCCTCAGATCTTTAACTCCACCCTTCTTTCTTCTTTCTTTATAAATGAACATTCTGGATCTTTCATAGAGAAATTAGAAAGCATGAGTTTTGGAACCCCTTAGAGGCACTTGACCACTGAGCCACATACTCAGACCTATTTTGTATTTTATTTAGAGACAGGGTCTCACTGAGTTGCTTAGCACCTCACTTTTGCTGAGGCTGGCTTTGAACTCTTGATCCTCCTGCATCAGTCTCCCAGGTCATTGGGATTAGGGGCGTGCACCACTGCGCCCAGCTCTTCTTTTCTTTTTCTGGAGCTTATCTCCTGTCATGTCTCCTCAAAGATCAGAGTCATCTTCCCTTTCTCTCCTCTCTAATGATAAAAGTCTATCTTCTACCCTCTCTTTCTTTCCAACTTGTCATTACTTTTCTCCTCATCTTCATTGACAAACATTTTGAAAGAGTAAGAAAGTTGTCTCTGCTTTTCCCACTCTCACCATACTCTGCCCTTTTTTATATGAATCCCTTGAACTACCTCGCTGCTGTCATCAGTCACTCCCATTCTTGATCAAGAAATATATTTTCTTAATCCCTACAGCTTTGAATATTGGTGTCACTCTTTCCTTGAAACACCCTCTTTTTTTTGTTCTTCCTAATAGTTTCTGTGTACAAGTTCTTATTCTGTTGTAAACTTCTCCCCTTAAGTTTTGGTACTTTTTAGGATTTTTGCTTTTCTAAAGCTTCTTTGTCCTTACTCTGTCACTTACTCTGTCTCTTGGGATGACTTTTATAAACTCTCCTGATTTAAATATTCATCCATGTGTGATGACTCTTTTCTGTATCTTTATCCCAGACCTTTCCTGACTTCCAGATTTATATATCTACTTCTGATAATACCTTTTGAGTATCCTACAAGTGCCTCAGTATCAGCATATTCAAAACTGAATCCACCTTAATCACCACCCCTTCTTTGAAACTTGTTCCTTTTCTTTGTTGCCTCTTCACAGATGTCATTTCTGTGACCTCTCAAGGACTGATCTATCTTCCCATATCTAGTTCATCAAATGCTTTTATTCTGTTTTCTAAATATTTTTATCTGTGTTTTTAATTCCTATTCCATTACTGTAGTTAAAGCCCCGCCCTAATTCCTGCAATGATTACTTGTAATCAGACTTGCTGTCCTCAGTTTTGCTTTCTTTCTAGGTGGTTTTCCATATGACATAATGGTCCATCTAAAACATATCTGATCCTGCACTCTTTTAATTAAAACTCTTTATGTATTTTTCATTGCTCTTAAAAAATAATACTTATCATGAATTTCTTACAAAGTCACCCATCATCTGGCTATTGCCTACTTTCCAGCATTGACTCAGCCACTCATCTGCCCAACTACTTCCTTAAAGGCCATCTTCTAGGAATATTGGAAAGACTTTTAATTCCTCAAGCAATGGTCTCTCCTGCCCCTGGACCTTTGGGCATGCTGTTCCCTCTGCTTGGATTGGTATTTCCTTTTATCTGGCTGACTTCCATTTCCTTCAAGTCTTACCTACTTTCAGGTCCTCCTGCTCCAAACCAGTGTCAGACTTTTCACATTGGATTGATAAATTTCCAAATTGGGTATACCCAGTCCCATCCCCACTCCAGGTTAAATTGATTTGGCAGAAGTATGGAGAGCCATTATGAGAGAAGTATGCAGAGAAATGTGACATGCCTTAGTCTATCAAATACCTAAAAGGTTTGGAGGAAAACAATTTTGATGCATATTAGTTTTATATTGGAAAAAAGTCTGTTTTTATAATTAAGGATGCAATGGTTCCATGAATTTTTAAGATAAAGCATAATATTACAAAGACTTTTCCTTTAGAATTACATCCCGTTTTTCCTGATCACACCCTTCCCTCACACACACAAAGAGTGGCATCCACTTTCTGTTGCCACTTTTTATGGAGAGTTTGGCAGCTAAATGGTATCATAATCACCAGCTGATTCACCAGTTAGTTTATCTCACTGGAATCTGAGCTTTGTGAATACAAGAACATCACTGTTTTATTGGCTGTTTGTTGTCTCTCCAGCATCTCCAAGCACAGTTTTTAGTACCTAGAAAAAAGTGCTCAGTAAATAGTTATTGAAAGAGGATTAACATAATACTTTAACAAAACTTTGTTCATTAAACTTTATAGTTGTTTGTATTTTTTATTTTTAATTCCTGTACTGTTTCCCCCCTACCCCAGCAGTATTAGGTGTTGAGCTACTACATCCCTAGTCCTTTTTTTTGTTTATTTTGAAACAAGGTCTTACTAAGTTGTTGAGGCTGGCCTAGAACTAGTGATCCTCCTGCTTCAGCCTCCTGAGTAGCTGGGATTATAGATGTGAGCCACCATGCCTATCCTCCTGTATTGTCTTGTATTGTCATGAACTAATTTTTATAAGCATTCAGAATATTAGCACCATCTTATCGTATTTTCACACTCCTCTTCCTCAGGTGCCTTATGAAATATACTTGGCCTGTTCTGCTAGTAAAGATGATAGAGATGAATAATGATTAAAAGATATTATTAAAGATATTAAAAAGGGGAACAATTACTATATTTATGTGTGTATATCTTATATGTGTGTTTATAGAATATTTCAGAGCATTTTCTTTCCTTATATTTGTTTCACTTACCTACTTTTAAATATTTAATAGAATTTATTAGCAAGCAAAGCAATTCATTAATTTTTTTTTTTTTTTATTTCTTTGTTAGGTGTGTACAAGGTGGAACTACTGCTATCCCTGGAGCTTTTGGCTGTGGAAAGACAGTGATATCACAGTCTCTTTCCAAGTATTCCAACAGTGATGTGATCATTTATGTAGGATGTGGTGAAAGAGGAAACGAGATGTCTGAAGTCCTCCGGGACTTCCCAGAGGTCTGTATGTGGAAAAACTTGAAATACTATTCTAGAGAAAATACCACATATCAACTTTCATGGCAGTTAATAAAGCTTAATATTGGGTCTGGAGTAATGCTCTTCTTTGTCAAGGATATTTTAAAGAAATATCTATGATTTTATATTGAAGGAAAGAAATTTAAATTTTTCAGTCAGACTCTTGAAAGTTTCTCTTTTTGGTATGGAGGTGAAAGATAAAACAGACAAAAATATTTACGTATGTGAACTTTACATAGGTTTTGTGATCTACTAGTTTCTATTGTAGAAATATTTTCTTTTTCATAAAATAATAGATTTCATTTATGAAATGGAAATAATATCTATCTTCATAGCATAGCACCATGGTACAGGAAAGAGCAGTTAGAGTAATAGGGAATATTATTTGGGAAATACGGGTTAGAGGAATTAAACATGGACAAGTTGTGAAAGATAGAGTTGGGGAACCAAAATGTTACATTTAGAACTCAGGAGATTACCTATGGATTTTTTTTTTTACCTCTAGCTCACTATGGAAGTTGATGGTAAGGTAGAGTCAATCATGAAGAGGACAGCTTTGGTAGCCAATACCTCCAATATGCCTGTTGCTGCTAGAGAAGCCTCTATTTATACTGGTGAGTTACAGATTGTCATAAAAGCAATTAATACCTGTTCTTAAACTTAAAGCTAGCACCAAGATTTTCCTTTTTCAGAGAACTTTTCTTTCATTCTATGATACTTTTATATAGTTACATCCTGACTTTAAAAAGATATTTTGCTTTTTTAATCTTGAAAGTAAGTAAACAGAAGATATTTATAGAACTGCTCCAGTATTTTTAATGACCATGAAATGATATATTTATACCTTTTCCCATTGATCTGTCTTTAAATATGCTTAGATTATCAGCTTTAAATTATATATTTTGACGAGTGATAGAAAAGATAAGAAAATTGGTGTGTTTATATATTAACTTCCATCTTTACTCCCACTTCAATCTCAACTTTTAGTGTTTTTATTTCTGTTTTTCAAAAGTCAGTCTAATTTAGCTTTAGACCTGCAGCAAAATGGAGTTAATGCTCACTAGCAGTCCTTTGGCTAATCCAAAAGGATTTGCCTGGAAGTTCCTTCAAGACAGGCTCATGGAAACTATATTTCCTGAATTCTTGTTTCTTCATAAGTTTTCTTTTTTGTTTTATTTTTCCTGTTGCCTTTAAGCTTTAATAGTAATTTGAATATAAAATTTTTGGTTCAATTATTAATTCTAGTCTGGTGGTTTTCACTTATTGGGAGGAAGATAAAACAGACAAAACATTAGTGTATATGAGTTTCATAAATGTTATGATCTACTAGGTTTACTAGAGTAAAATTTTTTTTATAGATTAAATGGATATGATATATGGAATTGAATTGATGCCTATTCAACTTTAACCATAGTTTGGCTTAGTATAAAAGTCTTGCTTCAATATTATTCCCTTGAGAACTCTTATTCTAGCATTAAATATTGGAGAAATATCTGAGACTGACCTTTGTTTTTTTCTTTTAGAGTTGGTTTTTCTATTTGCCCAAAGGAATTTCTCTTTAAATTTCAAGTCTCAAATTGATATCTTTGATTAATTTTTCCTGAGACATGATACAACTGTTCAATCTATTAATATATCTTATCTCTCTTCCATATATTATAATTTCTTCTCCAGTCCCTTCTCTTTAACCTTTTGTCTGTACACAGAATAAATGACATTTATTCTTTGTGTTGCTTCTAATGAAATCTTTATTTCTAAAATAGTTTTATTTTTCCTACCAGTTCTTTGTTGAGTTCTGCCACCTCTTGAAACATCTCTTTTTTTTGTTTCTTGCTAGATAATCCTTAAGATTTTATTTTGTGGTAGGATGCATTATTATGGTTCAACTCGGTCATAGTTTTCATCTGTTCCTTGTCAGGTTCTTTTGCCAATATTGTATCCCCTTCTATCTTTTTTCATATTACATCTTTGTTTAGATATCCTATGCTTATATTTATTGTCACTATTATTCATCTCTGTGTAGGAGATAGCAGGGTTTGGCTATGACTGTGGTCCAGAGTAACTGGAATTCTTCATGGTTACAGTTTGTGGCAGGGTGCAGTTGTGTAACTAAATTATTTTACTTTTTACTTGTCCTGCCAACAGAAGTCAGTAGCTGTAAGGCAAATTCTTTCTTTTCTACCCTGCCTCTCACACTTTTTATGTAGTGAAAATAGGAAGTGCCTACATGTATTTTGTTCACATCTATCTCCCTGCTTCTCCTTGATGCCATACTGGATCCAGGGAACTCCTGCCACTAATCATGTAGTCCTTTGAAGTGATTCAAACAAAGGATTTTTGGTTTTGTTCCTCAGAATGTGTCTCCTTGTTTTTAGAAATTTTATCTGAGTTGTGTTGCCTCAGATGAATTCTTGGTGTTTCCACTCACTTTAGTTTGATTTCACTCATTCAAGTGGCTTTCCTCATTATTTTGTTAAAGAGTTAAATGTGTCTCTTACCTTTTGATAATTGAATTTATATGTTTCTTGTTCTTGTTTGGCAGTTAACTTTTATGAGAAGGTAGAGAATTCATCTGAGGCTTACAACTCAGGTAAAGCTTTTGACAACTAGGAAACTCAGCCTGAGTTCCTAGACTAAGGTTAATGGCAGCACAGGAAATCAGAACCTGAGACTTCTTTGTGTATATTAGCTTCTTGTGTGAATTTACAAGACAGGACCTGATCTACTGTTTTAGTCAGCTTTTTTGCTGCTGTGACTTGACCTGACAAGAACAATTTTAAAAGAGGAAAAGATCATTTGGGAGCTCATGGTTTCAGTCCATAGGTAGCTGCCTGCATTCCTCAGGGATCCAGGTGAGAGGCAGAACATCATGGTAGAAGAGTGTAGTGGAGGGAAGTGGCTCAGTTGATGATCAGGAAGCAGAAAGAAAGACACCACATGCCAGATACAAAATATAGACCCCAAAGGCACTCCCCCAGTGACCTACCTCCTCTAGCCACACCCTACCACTCTGTTAATTCCTATCAGGGCATTAGTTCACTGATTCAGTTAAGGCTATCATAACCCATTGGGGGGACACCTCACATCCAAACCATAACATCTACCATTTTAATATGGAAAATTACCTCATTTTTTATGTGGCTTCATGTCCCCACCCCCCTTTTTCTTTCTATCTTTTTTTTTTTTGATACCAAGGATTAAACCCAGAGCGCTCCATCACTGAGCCACATCTCCAGCCCTTTTTTGTATTTTATTTAGAGACAGAGTCTCACTAAGTTGCTTAAGACTCACTGAGTTGATGAGGCCAGCTTTGAACTTGTGATCTTCCTGCCTTATCCTTCAGCACCGCTGGGATTACAGGCATGCACCATTACAGGCTCCATGCCCCTTTGATAGCATAATCTAATGAATAAACATCTGTTTATTGGACAGTTGGATTGATTACTACCACAAACAATGCATCACTAAACCATCCTTATGCATGTGTTTTATACTGAGTTTGTTTTTTTGTTGTTTGGTTGGTCAGTTGGATTTTTTGGCGGGGTCATACATATGTTTTGTGTGCTTATTTCTTTGTACACAATTTCTAAGAGTAATTTCTTAGAATTAAAATTCTTGAGAATAGAACACTTAATATAGAGTTTAAATTATGTTAATCATTCAGAAGGAATAACTATATCCAAATGAAAAATGTAAAGGATATATACATTTTCAGATTATAAAGATGTTGTAAAGAAAAAGATGAAATAAATGTGAAGGTATGTCATTGCAAAAAAAAAAAAAACGTAATAACTATTGACAAATTTCTGTTTACCCACCTCTACACCAATGCTAGTATTTTTAAACACTTTCTTATATGCTTATCAAACAATAGAAAATTAAAGTAATATTACAGTGAATACCCCAGCACATACCAGCACCTAGACTGATTAACTAACATTTTAAATATTCTTACTTTATTAGATAGCTATCCTATTTGTATTTCTTAACAGTGAACTAGCATCTTTTTGTGTGTATTAACCCTTAAAAGCTATCTTCTCTCCATTTTCCTTTTGGTTGGTAGTTGTTTTTCATGCACCAAGAATTCATCTGAGGCTTACAACGCAGATAAAGCTTTTGACAACTAGAAAATTCATCCTGAGTTCCTAGACTAATGATAACAGCAGCACAGGAATCAGAACCTGAGGCTTCTTTGTATATATTAGCTTTTTTTGTGAATTTACAAGACAGGACCTGATCTACATACCAGAAAGATTGAAAATTGAAATATTTCTTGTATTAACAACATTTGTTACTTTTTAAAAATAACCATAAAAGCTAATTAGTTGAGTTTTAAGTATCCATATGTATATGTGATATCTAGATTAGACAAACTACGTTTGGAAATTAATTCAGACTTAATTGTTTCAACACAGAATAGGGGGAAAATTTTTTCTTGTTTTTTAAAATGTGTATTATGTTGGGATAGGATAGACTATGCTATCAAATATTACCAAACATTTAATTGTTCATTGTAATAGATGTTTATTTCAGGTAGTCAGGGGCTCTTTGTCAACTAGGCTGGAGTCCAAGATGAAAAGAATTTTTTAGTTTTTAACACATAGCTTTCATACTTCTGGGTGTTCTCAGAAAAATGGAGGAAAGTCTGTGACTTGCTTCACCTTCATGCCCACAAGGGAAAGGGTAGATTTGGGGGAACAGCTAACAGTCTGCTTCATATATTTAATGCTATAAAGTTTTTAAGGGTAAAAAGTCAGAAATGTATATCCTAACATTGTAATTTGTAATATTCCTCTCAATTTAGGCATTACACTATCAGAATATTTCCGTGACATGGGCTACCATGTCAGTATGATGGCTGACTCTACCTCGAGATGGGCCGAGGCCCTTAGAGAAATCTCGGGTCGCTTAGCTGAAATGCCTGCAGGTAAGTCTTTGTGTTGCTTATCATGTAAGCAAGACTGATAGGACTTTGGGAGCTGGCTTAGAACCCCTCTTTTAAAATTTCTTTTCATTTTTCAGATAGTGGATATCCTGCATATCTTGGTGCACGTCTGGCTTCTTTCTATGAGCGAGCAGGCAGAGTGAAATGTCTTGGAAATCCTGAAAGAGAAGGAAGTGTCAGCATTGTAGGAGCGTAAGCACCCAAATGGTTTACTTTTCAAAAGCAAAAAGATTTAAAAGAGAAAATATTTTTACTTTCTCTGGTAGCAGTGATTCTTAACCAGGGCTGCATTCCGTTGCCACAGAGCTTCAAAGTAGTTCTTTGAAGATGTACAGGTCATCTCTACATGTTCGGACTCTATAGTTGTACCTTCACTGATGTATTGTATTTGAGTCACAGTAGTTTAGGAATAACTTAAAAAATTATAGACATGGTGAAATTAAATCATGGTAAAAGCAAAGTAAAGCCAGACATGGTGGCACATGCCTGTTATCCTAGCAATGGGGGAAGATGAATGAGGCAGGAGAATCACAATTTTGATGCCATCCTCAGGAAGTTAGGCCCTAAGCAACCCTGTCTCAAAATAAAAGGGGTGGGGATGTTGCTCAGTGTTTAAATGCTTCTGAGTTCAATCCCTAACACCAAAAATCAATAAATAAATAGTAAAGATTTTATGATTACTACATAAAGCCATACTTAGTTCTCCAGCTTTTCCTTCCTTCCTGTTCATCTGTTTGAATAGAATAATGAAATTGATTGTAATAAAAGATTATCTTATTTCTCACACTAGAAGGTGTTCAATAATTCATTGTTATCTGCGGTGTAGTTCTGGCTTTTAAGATTTTTATGTAACATTTTTCTTTCCAAGGATCATTTATTTCTAATTAGAAATAATTTCTAATAAAATTTCCAATTTTATTTATGTTAAAAAGTTAGGGCTTGAATTACAGCCCAGTCATAGAACTTGTGTTTATCTTTTGTTCAATTTGTTTTGGTATTGGGTTCAATTCCCAACACCAAAAATAAATAAATAAATAAATAAGCTTTAACTTAAAAATTGACTTTCAAAAAATTTGGCTTTCACGTGTTATTTTTTATAGCATTCTGCTGGCTATATCATTACTATTATTTTTTTATTCTAGAGTTTCTCCACCTGGTGGTGATTTTTCTGATCCAGTTACATCTGCTACTCTTGGTATTGTTCAGGTATGTCCTTCCGTAGTGTATTTAGTTTCTGAGTCTTTCCTCCTGTGCTGTTCTTCTTAGCTGTTCTAACACTACTTAAGTCATCATGTAAAATTTAATTTAGTCACTAAAGAGAAAACAGTGGTAAAGTATGTTTTAGAAATATCTTTAACACCAAGAGCCTTTAATACTGCTTTTCCTTAGCTCTTTTACCAGGGTTATATTAAACTTAATATATTCATGGACAATATGCACAGATAACTGTAACTATAGGGTCCAAACAGGTCAAAAACTGTGTAATAGGGGCTGGAGTTGTATCTCAGTGGTTGAGTGCTTGCCTCATACGTGTGAGGCACTGGGTTCGATTCCTAGCACCACATTAAAATAAGCAAATGAAATAAAGGTCCATCAACAAGTAAAAAAAATTTTTTTTAATTAAAAAACTAATTGTGTAATGGCAAAAACCTAGAAGTTTATTTTAACTCAAAAGTATGATCAAGGGTAGATGATCCTATCCAAAAGGGGTTCTATTTCATTCTGTCATAGTTGGATTCCATAGCTTGTTCCATCTTGTGGCTCTACCATCACCTCGCCTGGTAATCATCTGGAAATTACAAGGGAAAACTGTAGAGATGGCACATCCACATTTTTTTATGGGGGGAGCCAGTAGCTGGGCATGGTGGCACATATCTTTAATCCCAGCAGTTTAGGAGGCTGAGGCAGGAGGATATTGAGTTCAAAGCCAGCCTCAGCAAAAGTGAGGTGCTAAGCAACTCAATGAGACCCTGTCTCTAAATAAAATACAAAATAGGGCTGGGGATGTGGCACAGTGGTCTAGTGCCCCTGAGTTCAATCCCTAGTACCCCTCCTCTTAAAAAAAAAAAAAAGTGACCCAGTCATTTCACTCATTTATTAACTATATCTAGATGACAGCAAAATCAGAAAATATACTTAATGCCTTGGCATTTGCTTCCCTGTGACAAGGAGGATTGTGAGTTCAAAACCAGCCTTGGGAGGGGGGGTGGCTGGGGTTGTAGCTTAGCAGTAGAGCTTTCGTCTCCAACGTGAGGGACCCTGGGTTCGATCCTCAGCACCACGTAAAAAATAAATTGAGTGAAATAAAGGTATTGTGAATAAATATTTTTTAAAAAATTAAAAAAAAAAAACAGCCTTAGCAAAAGCAAGGTGCTAAGCAACTCAGTGAGAGATACCCTGTCTCTAAATGAAACACAAAATAGGGCTGGGGATGTGGCTCAGTGGTTGAGTGCCCCTGATGCCTCTGGGTTCAATCCGCAGTACCCAGAAAAAGATATATGATTCAGAGCTATAATTTAAAAAAAAAAAAAAAAAGTTTATATGAAGGAATGAATCATAAGTAAGTATGTATGTATAATTCATGTAGGAAAAACAGAATAATTACCTGTGTTTCTGACAGTATCAGAAGAAATGGCAGAGGCTAAGTTTACGTTTTTTAAAGTCTTTAACCTATGCTAAAATTTTGAGTTTAAATTATGAGGGAAGGTGGAAGAGTTAGAAATTCATAAAATATCTATGAAAGTTTAGTCTCTGAAGCATGAATGTCAAATTTTATTGCATTGCTCCTTAATGATAGGAAACTGAATTTAATCAGAACATTTAGAGGTTTTTAATCAAAGTAAAGTATCCGTTCCATTTCAATAAGCCTTTTCTTGTTCTTATGTTTATATTGTACCATAATAATCTTCAAAAGTGTCAATTTGCCTTTTTGCTATCACATTTCACATTATTAAGGAAAGTTAGATAAAATTTGAATTTGATTTGTATTATTATCCACCCTGAAAGTGAGAATACATTTTTAATGAACATTTTCTACAAGTTTATTCTGTTTTGATAACACTTGACACATACTAAAAATTAAATAACTTGCCCAGTAAATTAAACATAACATATTTAGGAAAAACAAATATGCTTCAATACTCTTAAAAACTTTTTAAGAAAATTATTTTTTTTATTAGGTGTTTTGGGGATTAGATAAGAAACTAGCCCAACGTAAGCATTTCCCCTCTGTCAACTGGCTCATCAGCTACAGCAAGTACATGCGTGCATTGGACGAGTACTATGACAAACATTTCACAGAGTTTGTTCCTCTGAGGACCAAAGCTAAGGAAATTCTTCAGGAAGAAGAAGACCTGGCAGAAATTGTACAGCTTGTGGGAAAGGTGAGTTGTTAAATCCCATGAGGTATAGTGTTACAGTGGCCAGTTAAAACCTTGGGTATATTCTTACCAAGCAAAATGAATAAATCCTAAACTTAAATTCAATTTTAATAATAAGTTTTAAATATTTTTAAAACTAACTAAAATGTTTTATTCTTTTTTTTTTTTTTTTTTTTTTTGAGGGGGGAGGCGTACTGAGGATTGAATCCAGGCATGCTTAACCACTGAGCCACATCCCCAGCCCTTTTTACATTCTATTTATTGACAGGGTCTCACTGAGTTGCTGAAGCTGGGTTTGAATTTGTGGTCCTCCTGCCTCAGCCTCCAGAGCTGCTGGATTATAGTAGTGTGCTACCACACCTGGCAAATTTTTTATTCTTTCTTTCTTTATTTATTTATTTATTTTTAGTTGTCAGTGGACCTTTGTTTTATTTATTTATATGCGATGTTGAGAATCCAACCCAGGGCCTTACACATGCGAGGCAAGTGCTCTGCCACTGAGCCACGACCCAGCCCAAATTTTTTATTCTTTATAGCCCTTAGCATGGTCCTGAGTTTATTGTAGGTGAGAGAGGAAAAAAACAAAACAAAACACCACTTGATTTTCTTTGAGTTCTTTAAATGAAATGTATCCATCAACCAATCAAACTAGAAGTGATAGAGGTAGTGTCTTTAACATAAAATTTTTTAAGAACACTGGGACTGGGAATCAAGGATTGGATTCTAGTCCATCCATTAATTAACTATGGATCTTAAACAAGTAACTTACATTCTTATACTTATGTCTTCATGTTTCACAAGAAGATGGTGAGCCAGGTGCAGTGGTACATACCTATAATCCCATTGGTTCAGGAGGCCGAAGCAGGACGATTGCATATTTGAAGCCAGCCTCAGCAAACTAGCAAGACCCTGTCTCAAAATAAAAAGTAAAAAGAACTGGGTATTGATAAAGTACCCCTGGGTACCTAGTACCCCACCCTAAAAAAGAAGGTGATGATGGTGATGGTTTAATTAAATGTAGCCTAATTAAATTGCTGAATCGAATGACTTTTCATATAGTATGCAGAACTAGTTAGGACTGTTAGAGGGACTGGGGATATAGCTCAGTTGGTAAAGTGCTTGCCTCATGTGCACAAGGCCCTGGGTTCGATTCCTAGCACCACAAAAAGAAAAAATAAATTTTTAGGGCCGGTCATGGTGGCAGATGCCCATAATCCTAACAACTCAGGAGGCTGAGGCAGGAGGATTGCTGGTTCAAGGCCAACCTCAGCAATTTAGCAGCAGGTAGGGGGGCAGAGCTGGGGATGTGGCTCAGTGGTTAAGTGTCCTTAGGTTTAATCCCCAGTACCAAAAAAGAAAAGGTAAGGACTATTAGAGTTCTCCACCTGATTCTGTTCTTTTGATGATACCTTAAAAATTCACCTCCTAATTTTTCCCAATAAAGATAGTTTTATTAAATAACTAACATGTATAGCATGTATTAAATATTTATTATTTATAGGGTACTGTGGCTCTCTGAGATTAACAACAAACAGAAGACCTGCAAAACCAGATAAAGGCAATACAGAAAATAAAATTACATGTTTATTTTGTTTATGAATGTAGATATAAAAGTATGAAATGTTTATTTGTTACACCAAATAGGTTATTCAAAATAGAATAATGTATCCTGAACAAGTAAAGGAATGCAAATGTGATTCAACACAGTATTATTATAATTTCCCAGTATAATTAATGTAACAGAAAAGAATATCTTAATCAATATGGAAAAAATATTTGAAGTTTATTTCTTATGAGTTTTAGAAACCTCTTAGGCAAGAAGGAATAGAAGTAAACTTCCTTAGTTTGTTAAAAGATACTAAGCTGAGGGGCTGGGGTTGTAGCTTAGTGGTAAAGCGCTTGCCTAGCATGTATGGGGTGCTGGATTTGATCCTCAGCACCACATAAAAATAAATGAACAAAGGTATTGTGTCCATCTACAACTAAAAGAAAAAAAAAAATTTAAAGATACTAAGTTGAATGTGATGGCATGTGTCTGTAATACCAGCTACTGTGGAGGCTGTGGCCAAAGAGCCCAGAATGCGAGACTAGCCTTAGCAACATAGCAAGACCCCATCTTAAAAAAAAAAATAAAATAAAATAAAAATAGCATGCTAAATGTAGGGGAAATATTTGATACAATTTATTTTTTTTAAATCAATATCAAGATAAGAATGCCTGTTATCATTGTGTTCAATTGAATACAGAGGTCCTTATTAATAATGTTAGAAATCAGACAACTTGTAAAGGAAGAGATTAAAATGTCATTATTCATAGATAATATGTTCATATAACTACAAAAATAACAACAGAGGAATAGAAATAATAAGAATATAAGAAGGAGTTGCAATGCAAGATAAATATAAATAAAGAAAATTTCACTAGGATTAGGAATGTGGTTCAGTGGTAGAGTGCTTGCCTAGCATGCATGAGGCCCTCAGTTCTGTCCAAAGCACTGAAAAATAAAAATTCTCAATACAAGCAATACTAATTAGGAAATAAAATTTAAAATAAGATGTTCATAATAGCAACAACAAATAGAGTATATGCACTACCCAGAAATCCATATTTCTGTTATGGAAAATATCTTTAAACTAAAAAATAAAACAGAAGATGATCTAAAAAGAGTCTACTCTTTTGGATGGATGACTTATTAAAAAATTGCCACTTCTCTTTAAAATATAAGTTCAATGTGATGCTAGTCAAATTTCTAGTTGAATCTTCTGAGCAAATCACTAATCATTCCAAAATCTATTTGCCATCACAAAGATTCACAATCTTAAAAATAATATAAAAATAAAAAGTAAGGAACTTCCCTCTATTGTTTAATAAAAACCATAGTAAGAACAACAGTGTGGTATTGGTGAAATAACAAACAGTGGTGGGACAGAATAGGTATAGACTTGTGTTTGTGCGTTCCCTTGATATTGTGAAGTGACTCCACAAATCAAGTGAGAGGAGGATAGGTTCTTTTAGTGAACAGTGGAAAACTACTATTTGGAGAAAATAGAACTGGATTGCTACTAAATTCCACATATTAAGGTAGACTCCAGGTAGATTATCAATTTAACTATTAGAGGGAAGAGGTTAATAGAAAAGAAATATTAAGGATGACATTTTGATCTAGGATTAGAGAAGGACTTCTTAAACAAACCTCATTGAACACATTAAAAGAAAACAAAGGTTTTTTGATAAAAGTAAGAATTTTTGTTCAACAAAGGCTTACCCATGAATAAAGGTAACAAACTGATGTAAAACTGGTGGGCTTTCTAAAATATTAACTTTAAGTTAACAAGAAGACTAGAACCCCAACAAATATGACCAAAGGAAAGATCAGACAGATTATGGAAGAGAAAACCCAAAAGATTAAAGACCTTTGGTAAAATTCTCCAACAACCATGACGTATCACATTACTCTGGTGAGAAAAACTGGGTATTGCCAAGTGTTGTGGGAATGGAGGAACTAGTGTACTCCTTGTGGCATGTCATCTGGTGCTACCATTGTAAAGAACAGTCCAATGGGACTTGCTTGCACGCCATGGAACCTAGTAGCTCTGCTTCTGGATATTTATCTCCAGAGAAATTCTCAAACAAGTCCTAAAGTGGACATTAATGATGGTGGGGAATTAGAGGAAATCTGGGTACCTTCTCCAGGGGACCGAAAAAAAAAAAAGGTAAAGAAAAAAAAAAAACACAGAATGGTTTGTACAAGAGCTAGGTGCAGCAAACTGTATGGCACGTGGTGTCATGGATGGATTTGGAAAAAACAGTGCCTAAGGCACAAATGAGAATGATTTACATAATGAAAATACTAATACAAAATGTACTTTTCACATAAATTTAAATAAATAAAAGGAAACACATAAAACACATTTTAATATTTACCTGTGATTGAAGAAGGGATATGAGATAGAAGGGATTTTTTTTTTTTTTTTTAAAAAAGACCTGATCCTTACCTAAGAAACTTAATACATACAAATAATAGAAGAATGCAATTAACTTTGCCTGTCCCTTTCTCACAACTCCCAAGAAATTTTTAAAACTAAGAATTTAAATAACTAAAATAATAAACCAGGATAAGAAGTATTTTTTTTTTAAAAAAAGAACATTAATCAGGGACAGGGACAGGGGTTGTGGGTTAGTGGTAGAGTGCGGTGCCTAGCATGTGTGAGGCACTGGGTTTGATCCTCAGCACTACATAAAAGTAAATAAAGGTATTGTCTTCATCTACAACTAAAAGCAATTAAAAAAAAAAACAACATTATTCAGTTTGTACTCTCATGTTCATAGCAGCCCTTCTCACAACAGCGCTAGGAGTGAAAACAACTCAAATGTTCATCTATAAATAAATGAATGAACAAAGTGGTATGTTCATACAATGTGATATTATTCAGCCTTTTTAAAAAAGGAAATCCTTTGTCTGGCTATAACATGAATGAACCTTGAGGACATTATGCAAAGTGAATACACCATTCATTTAAAAAATACTGTTATGATTTCACTTAAGTACTATCTAAAATAGACAAACTCATACTTCTCAGAAGAAGAAATACAAATGGCCAACAAACAGGAAAAAAAAGTTCAACTTCCTAGCAAACAGGAATATGCAAATCAAAACTACATTGATATTTCATCTCAATCCAATCAGAATGGCAATTTTTAAGAATATAAATAATGATAATGCTGGCGAGAATGTAGAGGAAAAGGTGCACTCATAATAGTGTTGGTGGGAGTGCAAATTAGTACAACTCTGGAAAGTAGTATGGAGATTCTTCAAAAAACTAGGAATGGAACTATCTATGATAACTAGATATGACCTATCTATCCCATTCCTTGCTATTTTTGCAGGAAAAAATCCTAAACTAAAATCAACATACTAATCAGCATACTATAGTATATAGGCACATCAATATTTATAATAGTGCAGTTCACAATAGCCAAGTTATGGAATCAACCCAGGTGCCTATCGATAAATGAATGAATTAGGAAAATGTGGCATATATACAGTGGAGTTTCACTCAGTCATAAAGAAGAATGAAATTATGGCATACGCTGGTAAATACATGGACGTGGATAACATCATGCTGAGTAAAATAAACCAGACTCAAAAAATCAAGGGTCAGTGAATTTTTTCTCTCATATGCAGAAATTACAACAAAGTAAGGGGGGATAGGGAAGTGGGGGGCGGGTATCATAAGCATAAAGGGAAAAGATCATTGGAGTGGAAAAAGGGAAAGGGAGGAGAGACAAAAAGGTGGAGGAAACGCAGAATCAACTTGACAAAATTTTGCTGTGTGCATGTATAAATATACCACAGTGAATTCCTCCTTTATGTATATCTATAAAGCACCAATTAAGAATAAATGGATAAATGAATAGAGGGAAGATTAGTAGAGGAAGGAGGATAGGGGGAGGGAAAGAGGACGCACTAGAGACTAAAATGGAGCATGTATGATTATGTCAAAATGAACCCCAATATTATGTGTAACTATAATACACTAATAAAAACATTTAAAAAACAATAAATAATGAAAGGAAGACGACTTGAGTAGAGTTTGGGGAACAGGAGAAGGGAGAAGAGGGAAAGAGGATGTATTAGGAACTGAAATGGAGCAAATGATATTCCATGCATGTATGATTACATCAAAATGAACCCCAGTTTTATGTATAACTATAATGCACTATGAAAGATATTCTTACAATAAAGTAGTCAAGTTCATAGAAACATAAAATAGAATGGTGGTTATCAGTATCTTGGAGGAGGGAAGAAGAGGGGCTTACTATTTACGGACATATGATTTCAGATTTGCAAGATAGAAAACTTCTGAAAATCGGCTTCACAACACCTCTGAACTGAACTCTTAAAAATAGTTAAGATGGCAAATTTTATGTTATATACTTTTTAACCACAAACAAGAACAATCAAAAGCAGTCATAAAGCAAATTTATTAGTACATCCCTGTAATCCCAGCAACTCGGGAGTCTGAGGCAGGAAGATTACAGATTAAAGACCAGCCTTGGCAATTTAGCAAGACCTTTTCTCAAAAAGTAAGAAAGGGCTAGGGATGTAGCTCAGTGGTAGAGCACCCCTCAGTTTGATTCCCAGTACCAGGAAAATAAAATTTTTGGTTAAATATAATGTGTTGATTATATTATTTCTGCTTGCTTAACTGATTATCACCATTGGTACCGACATGATGGAACAAAATTTCTAAAAATGTAATTTTTTTTTTCTCTTCTAGGCCTCTTTAGCAGAAACTGATAAAATCACTCTGGAGGTAGCAAAGCTTATCAAAGATGACTTCCTACAACAAAATGGATATACACCTTATGACAGGTAGGCTATACAGATTTTTCTTTTCTTTTTTTTTAATTGAGGCATTATAATTATACAAAATAATAGGATTCATTGTGATATATATGTAAATGCACAGACATAATTTTGTCGATTTTATTGCCCAGTACTTCCCCTTCACCTCCCCTTCTGATTTTCTTTCCTTATTTGAGGATTTTCTGTTGTGTTTGGGCAAGGAGCTACCTACACATTAAAACCTTTTTTTCCTCACACAGATAAACGCTGACTCAATATATTGGTTTATTTTGTATATTCATAGCAGACATCTAATGGTTGAAATCATCACCTTTTCTCAATTTGCTCATTTGTGAAATTATGACAGTATTTTCACTCATACAACTGTCTATAATTAGACTAAATTATGGCTTAGTGTGCAGAGCCTGGGGATCATTACCTGCATTAGAAACTATCTTTGCTAATTCCTTTCATTGCCCATGTCTCTTGTACTCTTCGCTTAGATAATTATGTTATTCTTTCCTGCCTTGTTTGTCAAGAGTCCTGTATCTTTTTCTTTCCACCAAAGCCTTTGTTGCGGCCAGTCCCAGCCCCTTCACTCCTGCCCAGTGCTTGCTTTTTTTCACTGTTGTCTCTGCCACTCCTGTGGCATGTTGAAAGTTCCTATTTCTTTTAAACTGTGAGGATTTGAGCCCTTTTCTCCCAGGCTAGCTTTTCTCCCTCAAATCATATTTGGTTCCACATAAGAACCAGAGAACTAAGCAAATAGGATTAATCAGACCATAGAGCAAGCAGAAAATATGCCAGTATGTCAGTAAGCCTTCGAAATCTGTTAAATCGGGAACTTAAGAAGCTCTAGGAACAAAACCGCCTACACAAAGATAACTCAACTAGGGAAAAATCTTTGGAAAAGGTGTGATAGGACTATGCATGAAATTATGTATGCAGATGTCTAGGAGTGTGTTAGAAGACTGATAAGGACAAATGTGATTGAATTGATATTTACTCATGTGTACGTACAGTCTCTATTTCTTTGTTACAAAAAGGTATGAGTAAAAGAAAATGAACACATTAAAGAGAAAGAGGCTACTATTATTAACTCACAGCAATTTGCAGTTCCCCCCTTCCTATTATTCATTAAACCTTAACTAATATCACAAAGGAGTCTTTACAACTCAGTTATTTTTCATTTGAGTTACTTACCTACCTACAAATCCTACAAATACTACAAATCCTGGGAGGGGCATTATATTGTAGCAATATTATTTCATTGTCCCTCCTATTTGATGAATTTACAGACAAAAATAAACATCACCCTTAAAACAAATAAAATAGATATCTCCATATCCATCCATACCAGTACTGAGGTGTCTTTGCCCAAAAATTCTCCTTAAATAATTATTGGTTTTTTGTATTGTTCTTCTTTTCTTATGTATCATCTAATAAATATAAGCAGTTTGCATACTTAAATAAAGAAGCTGATTCCCTGGTAATTTATAGTTAACGTTTTACATACTGAAAGTATGAACCCACTTTGGAATTTTTTTTTGTTCATTCTTTTGACCTTCATTTACCCTAGGTTCTGCCCATTCTACAAGACAGTAGGGATGCTGTCCAACATGATTGCATTTTATGATATGGCCCGTAGAGCTGTTGAAACCACTGCCCAGAGTGACAATAAAATCACATGGTCGATTATCCGTGAGCACATGGGGGAGATCCTCTATAAACTTTCCTCCATGAAATTCAAGGTATATTTTGGTTCTGCTGTAACTTTTTTAGTAGGAATTTTTTTTTTTTCCTCTAACAGTTTGAGTCCCAAACCTGGGGTATGAAACTTGCTTTTATCATTTTCATATATGCTCAGGATGTATATAACCAGAACAGGTCTTGAGGTGATATTCAAGTAGGAATTCCAGTGATAAAAAATTATAGTATGTCACATCTAAAATAAATGCTGACTATTTCTCTTTTGTCTTAGCTGCCAGGCAATTTAGAGCTAAATTCATTGTCGAGCAGCAATTATCTTACTTCAAGTGCCTATTAACATCTAGCTCCCATGTTCTTCTGAAATGATGTCTGCTCTATTTACTTCTTCCAAATATCATGTAGTACACATTTTTACTTTTACATGACCCACAAGATAAAAATAGGTAGTTATGTTAAATTACCAGTAGAAACTCAAATGTATAAGATTGTTTTTAAAATATTTGATCAATTGAATTGTGTTTAATTTAATTAAGTCATGACATTCAGGCATATTTACTAATTACCTACTGAGAATGATTCTCAGCATGTATATATAATGTATTAAATTTTTACATAACATAGAATATATGTATGTATATTTATATATTTATATATTTATATATGTATATTTACAGTATAGATTAAAAATATAAATCTGTATAAATATTCACTATATCAAGAATTAATATTAACACTCTTTGGGTCCTGTCATTCCACTTTGAGATATGTGAACCAAGGAAAAAATCAGAGATTTTTGTTTTGTTTTGTTTTGCAGTACTGGGGATTAAACTCAGGGTCCTATACATGCTAGGCAAGCACTCTATCAATTATGCCATATCCATAGGATAAAATATATGAAGGCATTAATTTTTTTTCCAAATACCCAAAAACATGAAGAAATACATTATAGAGTGAAAAAAATAATTTATAAAAAAAAATCATATATAAATTGATTTAAATTTTGTCTTTAAAAATTCACTTAGGAAAAAGATGAAAAATAAACCTATAAAAATGATTTCTAGTAGTGTGATTGAAGGTGAAAACTTTTCTATTTACATGCTTATTGTATCAAAAGCATCACTAGTTTTTTTTTAATGCTTTGGGAGAGTAATATTTTTCCAAGGCATTTAGGAAATTTCCAGCTGTTGGTATGGACAACCATGTACTTGGTTTTGTTTATTTTCATACTAGTGGAATTACTGGGTCAGAGAGCTTTGGGCATTTTAAAGTCTTGTACACATTTTACTCAATTAAATTGCCTTCCATGAGGATTTTAAGTATGGTATATTTTAAAATTTATTTTCCATATTTCAGTTCTGCATCACAGTATGATACTATCAGACTTTGAATAATATATTGTTTTTACTAATTTCCAATTATATACACCCAGTCATATGCATCTAAATTTTTTAAATATAAGGAAATTATCACACATTCTGAAAATTATTTTCCAAAGGTAAATTGAATTTTTAATATCTTTTTTCAGGATCCAGTGAAAGATGGTGAAGCAAAAATCAAGGGTGACTATGCACAACTTCTTGAAGATATGCAGAATGCATTCCGAAGCCTGGAAGATTAGAACTGTGATTCCTTTCCTCCTATTCCTCTGCAAGCTCATCTGTGTATATTTTCTTGAATTTCTCATCTCAAACCCTTTGCTTCTTTATTGTGCAGCTTTGAGACTAGTGCCTATGTGTGTTTTCTTTTGTTTTGCTGTTTATTTGGTAGGTCTTATACAAAACAAACATTCCTTTCCTCCAGTGTTTGAAGGGCCTCCCTGATACTTTATCTGAAGTGGTGAATGTAGTAAATATGATATACAATGGCTACACTACTGTAAACCTGTATGTAGGGTGAACTTCCTCCTTGTACTAGGTTTGCCCATTCCTCATCTCCATTAAATTGAAAACAGGACTTACTGCATATACTCTCTTTGAGTAGATTTAGAATGAAAGGCCATATTTTTAAACCTTTTGACAGGTACTTTGTGAAATGACTTACTATCTATGTGGTCACTTGCAGCTTAGCATTTTGCTAAGTAACTACTTTGCAGGAAATGTTTTACTTTTAAAAAACTTTGATGGTTAATGTTCCAATTATGCATTGCTTTCCCAGTATAAATCAGGAATATTTATGGGAAGCTATTGGGAACTACATTGTTTTTAAAAAGATATTCATGGAGCTCAGCATAATATATGAATCAGTACCCTCTCAAAGCATGAAAAAAAAGACAGGTGGTCAAACTTAGCTAACATCATGTTGTTAAACCATACTTTATTTCGCTAGGAAAAATTCAGTATCAAGAACTATTATATACTACATTAAATTACATTAAAACAATCATCGAAAACTTGATCTATATCACATACTTATTTTCCTCAAACATCTTGGAAGCCTAAGTTTTTAAGAATCATGTGGCAATGCGATGATCAGTAAAGTGCCACAGGTAAGATACTTAGTAGTGGTTAAAGGCCATTTGCCCCTTTAAGAACCAGCTGGGCTGTAGTGATTCTTGGGGCCAGAGTGACATTATGTTTTTACAAAGTAATAACATGTCACATGCTTGCATGTTTATTTGCTTGTTGAATTTTTGAACAACCAGTTTACCAATTGTAGAGAATATTGCTTTCGTGGGTTTTTTTTCTGACTTGGAGTTTCTCAGAATATCTATGGCCATAGTAGTGTGACAGTTTCCATTCTGTTTAATAGGGATGAAGTTAATTCTTTTATCTGCTGGTAACAGAATCTGAGTCATGTGAAAAAAAAGATCATTTCATCCTATCTTTTAAGTGTATGTCTAAAAATAATAAATCTCTGTGTTCGTGTACTAAGGCACGCTGCAGAACAGCACTGAGAGCAAGTTTCCCATTTACTCTTTCTGACCAATAGAGGTGGCACCATTGCTTCCTTTTTGGGAAAAGGAAAGGGTGTACATGAGCATATGTGATGATTTGATACACAATGTAATAGCACAAATAAAGTATTTATTTTATGCTTCAGTATGTTATTTAATTTTGGGATAATGCATTTCTTTTGGTCTGTTAAAGAAAGATGTGTTCAGTAGTGAATTCAGGTATAGTTTTGTGTAAATCCTTGAAGATTACATATTTTCCAGTAGCCTGCTATTCAGGAAAGATATTTTTCCATAGAACTTTTTTTTTTTTAACCCTTCAGAATATTGACAGAATTATGCAATGATTTGTTGAGATGTGGACTTAATGGTGCTGCTTAATCAGTTTGCTTCCAGTGTAGGAGACTTCCTACCCAGAGGTCCTAAGACTAGTGGAAATTAAAAGGATTTCAAAAACTTCTGTTAAATCTACCAGCAAGCTAGGATTGTGATCATAATGAATGACATGAAGAAACTAATTGACCAAGTGTGTTTTCTGTTGTACTGAATTTGAAACATTCATTCTTCCTCCTTTTAAGAATGCTGATGTATGAATATGAAGATGCTTGAGAAACTATGCTCAGATATTCATTGTAAGTGTCCCTTCACATATATGTTGTAGAATTCCGAATTAGTCACTGATAGTATTTCTTTAGTAAGGCTGTGTTAAAATTACAGCAATCTTTTAAAAAGATTATGCAGTTCTATATTTATTGTGTTGTACCTTGTCCTAAGTGCAGCCAGTAAAACAAGTTTCATATGTATTTTTCCAGTGTTAAATCTCACACACTGTATCCTTTGGAAATTTCCGTCTATCCTAAAGAATGAATAGAAGAGGCCATATATATTGCCTTCTTATCCTTGAGATTTCACTGTCTTTATGTTAAAAGTTATGTATAATTATTAAAATCTATGAAAGAATAAAATGGATTTAAATTATTTGTCTTCTCTTTTTGGGTGGCAGGAAAATCTGCTAGAAAACATGCCACCTTGTTGTATATGGGCTTAGTATTTTAGCATGACCTTTTTAATTTTTTATTTATTTTCTTTATAGATTATTTAAGATCCTAAAACCAAATTGGGGCCATCACTGAAGTGATATCCCATCATTGTATCTTACAATGATTTAAAAATATAGCACATGGAATTTTATCCATTCTGATGGTACTTTAAATTGGAAACGTAAGTGGATTTCTGAAAATCAACTTGTAAATTAAAAAAGATCAGTGATACTTCAGTTTGAGGCAAGGGAACAAAGCCTTATAATTCGTGCTTTTGCAAGCTGAATTATTTTAGATCCAATGTAGCAATGAACAACATTCATTGTGTAGTTATCCGATATGTTATCTAGGATATGCTTTTTTAAAAAATTTATTTATTTATTTAGTAGTGGGGATTGAACTCAGGGACACTTGACTACTGAGCCACATCTCCTGCCCTATTTTGTGACAGGGTCTCACCAAGTTGCTTTGCACCTGCTTTTGCTGAGTCTGTCTTTGAACTCGAAATCCTCCTGCCTCTGCCTCCAAGCCACTGGGATTACTACCGTGTGCCACCACACCAGCTTAGGATATGTTTTAATTTTCCTTGAATGTTGTATTTCCAAAGGAGTGAAAAAGCAAGGTGTAATGGACAACTTCATATTCCTACTAAGTGCCATGTTTATGTAGAGGAATACTTAGGAATTCACAGGAAGACTTCTTCCTTATAGAGTGGGTAGTTTTTAGTCCCTTAGGTAATATCCCAATATCTTCCTCATATTAGTTTTAATGGTTTGCTATGCATAAGAGCATGAAGAAGAAAACTCACTTTTGAAAGTCAGTGTGATAAAATGCTGTGGACATTGTTTTAATAGTTTCCATTTTTCTCAGAAGTTGACTCTCAGACAAGTATTTGAGTTTAGGTAGTTTATTTGGGAGATGATCCTAGGAAACACCAATAGGGGAGTAGAGAATTGGGACAGAATAAAAAGAAGCGATTATAAATATTCATTGTTAAACAAATTAATACTATTGGACTATGGAACCCAATCTTGCTGCTGAATTCTGGGAGCAAATGAAGAACATGCATCTTAATTATTACACCTGTGAGTACTTTATCCAATCATTGACGGCCAATTCCTATCAATTTTCCATTGCAAACTGTTCTTACAAAGACAGGAAAAATAATGCCCAGCACATGCATACAGATAGATGAAGCCTGGTGGACATACAAAATCCCCTGGGATATTAGGTTAGCATGCACTGAATGATAACTCATAGCTGAAGAGAGAATGGTGGAATATTACCAGCAACTCTTTGAGGCTTCTTAAGAACCCAGGAAAAAAAAGAATTATTCAATCAGTAATTGAAAAGCCGTTGTTCTGCAAAATAAGGAAACACCATTTTAAAGGATCAAGAAACTGGGAGAAAAGATGTGTTTTAAAGAGCAGAAAGTATACACACACATGTGCTAATTATGGTGATAAATAGACCAATGTGGGTTTTAATGCTCCTGAAAGTAAACAGCTTCTTAAGTTAATGGGGATTTTGATCATTTCTTATAGCCCTTCCATTATAAAAAAGAGGAATTTGAAGTCCAGAAAGGTTAGTTGATTTGCTCAATGTCAAACACAGCTCTTTATATGAGAATTCAGTTCTTTTGGTTTCCAGAGTCTGATTGCACTTAAATCATACTGTCTTTCCCTTGTGTCTGCACTTTTTATTCAGAACCAAGGAATTAAGTTGAATAAAGATGAGAAAAATAAATTGGAAAAAAGTAAGTTAGAAAAATTACTGGCTACACAAGGTGGACATGGGTAGTACAGTAGAAGGACTCATTTACAATGTGATTCAGAAATTATTAACAATTGAGTTAGTTTAGGAGAATGAATGTAGAAGTAGATACATATGATTTTTACCAAATTAATACAGAAGTATTTAAAGAGAAAAGAACAACATGAACAATAATGTCGTAAAAGAACTTGTCTCAAGAATATAAGAAGAACTCCTTTAAGAAAAAAAGAAAGATCTTGAAAGATAAATAGATAAGACTTAGGCCACATTGTGTGAAAAGGGTGCTCAGATTCTAGTCCTTAGGAAAATATAAGTTAATATATCATGATAACTTTCTTCATATACGCTAGAATGGCTGAATTGGAAAGGAAATACCAACTGTTGGTGAGATTTTTGAGCAACTGAAACTTAAAAAACATTTTTGGTGTGCCGCAGTCCTGCTGGGCCAAATAACCAGGGGGTGACAAGCAACTTGAAGGTTGAAATGGGAACTACTTTATTGCGAGTGAACTCAGCGTGAACTGAGCAAGAACTCAAAGTAGCGGGCACCCAAGGTAGCAGGAGCCGCTTCTCTGCGGGACAGCAGAGGTACATATACCCAACTAATTACACACAGCTTAACTCAATTAACATCATCTAGATACAGCAGTCAGTCAATAAGGAATTATCATCTTAATGGCTCGCTGGCGTTACTTCACAAATCACTCCTTCTGGCAAACTGCCAGGCGCCATCTTGACTTGATTTGCATCCCCAACATCTCCTCCCTTTTGTTTTATTAAACAAGTATGTGGCTTAGGGACCGTGCCTGTTTTAGGTTGTCCAATACTATATATGGTCCTTGGATGGTCTGACCTCAAATCGTCAGCCTCCTCTCTTAGGTTGGTACCATTGTAATTGGATCTTACCTGTCTTTGACAACCGGCCCAACACACTTAGCCATACTTTTGGATAACGACCATAGTGGTTTTTACACAAACACCATAAACAACCTGCCACAAGCAGAAGGGAGGAGGATACAAAATGCCACGATATCAAGCCATTGACTGCTCCAAGTGAGAAACCCCTGGAAAAACTGTACCACAGATGACACCTTCAGCAAAGATACCCTGGTACTAATTACAATTTGTTATATCAGTTCATAATGCATATAAGTGATACACAGTCCAGGTAAGTTCCACAAGCAGCTTAAAGCAAAGGAATCCATTAATATGTCTATTTCTTCTTGAAGTAAATATTAATACAACAGTTTGTACAGTTTGTGTGATAGCTATCGCAGAAGCTGTAGTAGCAGCAGCAGAAATATCAACAGCTGTGATGATGGTAGCTGTAATTCTGAAGTCTCATTTGGTTTTTCAGTAATACTGGAAATTCTTCTATTTTTGTCTTAAGGTAGGAATTCTGGCAATAATGGCTAAAGAAAATTGTGCAGCATTCCAGCAGGCACTAAGAAAACAATTTTCTGAACAATTTAGTACATTATTCTGAACAGAATTATTAAATATAATGAATAGGAAAGGTGAAAGTAAACAAACAGACCTGTTAACCTCCTTTTTTTGTTCACATATTAAAACAATACCCAATTTAAATTAAACTGTTTAAATCACGTGAATAAAAGATATTTGGATCCATTTTTTCATCAGCACTCCTGATATATGGACATATGCACATACAGACATACAACACATAACACAAGTGTGCACACATAACACAATAGTAAAGGCCTTATAGCTTTTCACAGGTGAAATCTCCATTGCAATGTTTAAAAACTCCACAGTTGATTTAAAAATAAAACTGATCAGAAAAACATTATCCCAGATCTATATGAGCTCAAAAAATAAAATAGAAAAATTCTTCTTGTAACTTGCATATGGGTTTGAAGGTATTCCTACAAGTAAACCTCAAGGTTTTTTGCATTTGAAATAGGCCATAATGGTGCTTATTATTCATTAGCCTCCAGGTGTGGGGGAACCATTGTCGCAAATGTAAGGATAACTAAACTGGAGTTCTGGATATCAGCTGTTATGGATTTTGAGCCGAATCATCTTCTTTTTGGTCTGTAGATATCGCTTTAGTTAGTCTCTCTGGAATCCAAATTGGCTGCTGTTCTCCCTGTGGAAACACACAAACAGACTCCCGACTCCAGACAATCACTGGGTCAGGATCTTTCCATTGTCCAGTTAGAATATCCTTCCAAAGTACCTTTGGCTTATATACATTTTTTGGACACATGTGCCTTTCCGCAGCACAAAGTCCTGATGAATCCAAATTTAAAAAGTTTAACGTAAAAAGGGTTATGTTAAGTTTATCTTTGGGGGATTTATATCCCTTCCCAATTCTCTCTTTTTGTTTTAATAAGTACATTTTAATAGTTTGATGAGCTCTTTCAACTATGCCTTGTCCCTGTGGATTATACGGGATTCCTGTTATGTGAGTAATCCCAAAAGATGAGCAAAATTGCTTGAAAGAAGTAGAAGTATAGCTAGGGCCATTATCTGTTTTTAACTATTTTGGAATGCCCACAGAGGCAAAATTTTGTAAACAATGAGATATAATATCTTTAGTTTTTTCTCTGGTATGAAGGGAGCCCATTAAATATCCGGAAGAAGTATCAACTGTAACATGCAAATATTTTAATTTTCCAAATTCTGGCAAATGTGTGACATCCATCTGCCAGATATGATTAGATATTAGTCCTCTAGGATTAATTCCAAGATTAACCTGTGGTAAAAAGGTCACACAATTTTGACATTGTTTTATTATATATCTAGCCTGTTCCTTAGTTATTCTAAAATGCTTTTGCAAGGTATTAGCATTGACATGGAAGGATTTGTGAAAATTTGTAGCTTCTTCTAGTATAGAAAAAATATGTATGTCATGTGTGGTTTTATCTGCTAAATCCTTGCCCAAACTAAGGGCTCCGGGCAATCCTGTATGTGCCCTGATATGTCCTATAAAGAATGGATCTTTTCTGTCACAGATTAAACTTTGTATAGCAGAAAACAAAGAGAAAACAGTAGAGGAAGGGGAAATCCTACCAGCATCTTCAAGGGAATTTATAGCATTAACTATATACAAACTGTCAGAAAATAAATTAAATACAGAATCTTTAAACATCACAAAAGCATGTAATACTGCATTAAGCTCTACCTTT